TGAAGTCTCAGATGCCACAAGTGTACTACTCAACTCGCCAAATCTCCGCTAGCGATGAAGTGTGGCACAGGAGGCTGGGACACCCTCACGAACAAGTTCTGAAGTACCTGAGTCAAGTCAAGTCGATTGCAGTTAATAAAAGAACCCTGAAGATGTGCGAGTCGTGTCATCTAGGGAAAAGTAGTCGTTTACCGTTTGTAGCTTCTAGTTTTGTTGCGCCAAGACCTCTAGAGAGAGTTCATTGTGATCTCTGGGGTCCATCTCCTGTTACATCTAATCAAGGATTCCGCTACTATGTTATTTTTGTGGACAACTTTTCTCGATTCTCCTGGTTGTATCCATTAAAGGCCAAGTCAGACTTCTTCAAAACTTTTGTTATGTTTCAGAAGATAGTTGAAAATCAGTTGTCTACAAAGATATGTGTGTTTCAATGTGATGGAGGAGGAGAATTCACTAGCAACCAATTCTTGACACACTTGAAAGATAGCGGAATTCAACAGCTGATCTCTTGCCCGTACACGCCGCAACAAAGCGGATTGGCAGAAAGGAAACATCGTCATCTCACAGAGCTGAGCTTAGCAATGATGTTTCAAAGTAAAACACCACAGAAATACTGGGTGGAAGCGTTTTATACAGCAAACTTCTTGATAAATCTGCTTCCCTCATCGGTGTTGGAGGATAAAAGAAGCCCATTTGAAGTCTTGAATGGAAAAGCTCCAGACTACTCTGCTTTGAGGTCCTTTGGATGCTCATGCTTTCCGATGCTGAGAGATTACGCATCAACAAAGTTCGATCCTAGATCGCTGCACTGCGTGTTCCTCGGCTACAATGACAAATATAAAGGATACAGATGTTTCTACCCTCCAACAGGTCGTGTATATATCTCACGACATGTTATTTTTGACGAAATGAGTTTTCCGTTTGAAACTATCTACATGAAGTATCAGACACCTGCAACAACACCTTCTTTAGAACCGTGGCAGAGAAGTTTTGTTGAACCTGTCACAGCACAAGCAAGTGATCCGGAGACTCGTACTACTGTGATCTCTTCAAATGTCAGGATACAAACAGTACCAACAAGTCATCGACTCGACTGTTCAGGAACAGCACCAGTGGCAACAAGTTTGACAGGTTCAGATATAACTGATGGCAGATTAAGTGAAACAACAGAATCTCCTCAACTAAATGTCCCAGTCTCAACGTCTCAGCATTCCATGATCACAAGAGCTAGAGCAGGAATCAGGAAACCAAATCCTAAATACGCGCTTCTAACCCACAGAACAGCAAACCCGGTTCCTACTACTGTTGCTGCTGCTTTGAAAGATCCGAGGTGGTGCAGTGCTATGGGAGATGAGATATCAACATGTCTAATAACAAACACATGGTCCTTAGTTCCCCGCACACCAGAGATGCATGTGCTTGGCAACAGATGGATTTTTAAGAACAAACTGAACGCAGACGGAACAGTTGAGACACCAAGAGCGAGACTGGTAGTTCAAGGAAACAATCAAGAAGAGGGGATCGACTATCTTGAGACATATAGCCCTGTGGTTCGAACCGCTACAGTCAGAGTTGTGTTACATCTTGCTACAATAATGAAGTGGGAAGTTAAACAAATGGATGTTAAAAACGCCTTTTTGCATGGGGATTTGGCAGAGACTGTGTATATGAGACAACCAGCAGGGTTCTTGGACAAGACAAAGCCAGATCATGTGTGCTTACTACACAAGTCTCTCTACGGATTGAAGCAGTCCCCGAGGGCGTGGTTCAACAAGTTCAGTGATTTTCTCATTGAATTCGGCTTTGTGTGTAGTGTCAAAGATCCATCTCTGTTCATATACTCACATGATGGGAATAATATCATGTTGCTTCTGTACGTTGACGATATGGCCATCACAGGAAACGACTCTGCAACACTCACCAAGCTGCACAAAGAGCTCAACTCAAAGTTCATGATGAAAGACTTGGGAAAACTGCATTATTTTCTTGGAATTCAAGCTATAAGTCATGACACGGGACTCTTCCTGACTCAAGAACAATATGCAGTTGATCTTCTCACTGAAGCAGGGATGGAGAACAGTGCACCAGTCAACACACCATTACCTCTGCAGTTAAACAATGTTCCGGATCAAGACACACCATTTTCTAATCCGTATTACTTCAGGAGTCTGGCTGGCAAGTTACAGTACCTGACTTTGACCAGGCCAGACATCCAGTTTGCGGTTAACTACGTGTGTCAGAAGATGCATGCCCCCTCTGTGTCTGATTTCATGAACCTAAAACGCATCTTGCGTTATGTGAAGGGCACAGTGTCTATGGGGATTTCCCTTCTTCATGACTCGGACTGTACTCTCAGAGCGTACAGTGACAGTGACTGGGCCGGCTGTTCATCCACAAGACGATCAACAGGAGGCTTTTGTACGTTCTTAGGACAGAATCTGATATCTTGGTCATCCAAGAAGCAACCTACAGTGTCTAAAAGCTCGACAGAAGCTGAATATAGGTCCTTGTCCGAAACGGCATCTGAGATGGCTTGGTTGAGTATGTTGCTTAAGGAACTCGGTATTTCACTGCCAGTTACACCTCAATTGTTTGGAGATAACCTCTCATCGATCTACCTGACAGCCAACCCTGCTTTCCACAGAAGAACCAAACATTTCGAGACTGACTATCATTACGTCAGAGAAAGAGTGGCTTTGGGTTCTCTAGTGGTGAAACACATTCCAGCTCGACTACAAATTGCAGACATCTTTACAAAGTCCCTTCCAACTGCTGCGTTTCAGAGCCTGAGATTCAAACTAGGCATTGTCCTGCCTCCCACGCATAGTTTGAGGGGGGGGGGTATTAACAGGCCTCAGCCTAAGGCCCATGAATCCTTGACTCAAAAGATCGCAGAGCCCATGAAGACTCACCAAGCCCAATACAGGGTCAAAGAGATTCAAACTCAATCCAATCAAACAAGTTCTGCAACGGTTAAATTGAGTGAAGACAAAAACAGAGCTGGAGAAGAGAAAAGAAAGGGAAAACAGATAGCGATGGGAAGTACAAAGCAGTGTGGTCCTGCATTGTACAATTCATTTGAAGCCCTTGGATCAATAGGAGAAGGAGGATGAAGACACGTCGATAGACATCTAGGGCTTTCATCTATTGCTATATAAAGCTTGTAATGGTTCATTGTAAACCTTAAGAAACAAGAAATAAAATTATCCTTTCACAAATTCTTATTTCTTCAACTTTCACCAAGTCCATCAGAGTCTCTTCTCAGCCTTTCCTCTAACCAGGTAATCCTCTTAACTTGCCACGTCATATAACTCCACTTGGTCAGCCTTTGACTCTTACTTCCTTGATCTGAGCTTATATGTCTATCACTCTGCTTGCAGTGAAAGACACTCCTCTTGAAGACCAGAGGTATCTCCACACCTAGTGATTAGTAAGGGCTTTGAAAACTCTTGAGGGATTTTTATTTTACTCTTATGTGCAGCCGGTTGAGATATGGGAGATGATAAGAATGATTGGAACAGCAAGGATTGGGATGCCAAAAGCAATGGTGAGGTTATCTGCTGGTAGCGCCAGATTGACAATGTCCGAGCAAGCATTGTGTTTCCTTGCTGGTGCAAACTCTATCTTCACTGGAAAAAATCTTTTAACAACACCCCCACAATGATTTTGACGCACACCAACTCATGTTCAAAACGCTAGGACTCACTCGTAAACCCCCAAGTTGTATCTATAAGATTGTAAAGCTGAATGAATCCTATTGACTGAGTAAGTGTTACATATATACAAAGGAACGATGAAAGGAACGGAAACAGAATATACGAGATTGATAGAGATCAAGCAATTGAGTGATACGCAAGTATACAATCAATGCTGATATATTCACATTCCTAATAGCTTCTGCTTCTCAATATAGCTTTGGACACTCTTATGAATCGGTTACCTTTTCACTATGTGGCATGATTGGATGATTTAGTGATGACACCCCTGTTTATTTTTAAAAATAACAAAATCATCATTTTCTAACAATAATTAATCTATACTATATAATAATTAATCATCATTTTCAATATACACCCCTTATATAATATATATCAATTTAAAAGTAAAAAAAAAATTGTATAAAATTAAATGAAAACAAATACTCGCGCGGTCGCGCGGGTTGAGATCTAGTACGAAGTAAAACTTATCATTATTTTCAGTTCCGAATGTGAGTGAATTGGAGTTAAAAATGCAAAATATTTATTTCTATCACATAATCTCACTCCCTCCCTCTCTTGAGTAAGACAAGAAACCAAACATAACTTGAAAGTTACAGAGACTACATAATGTTTCAAGTGAAATGTATACATATATCTGTAATTAGAACTTAGAATGCAACTATTGCCAAACTCTTTGGGGGCAGTTAGGTTGTAATAACTCCTCCACGCTCATGTGTGAACCATAGAACTTGTACAATAGAAGCAACATAATCTTGTGAAAGTTGTACACTTTTTAATTAAAGGCCAAGAGACAACAAATATCTTTTCTACGGAAATGTTTATGGACACGAAGAGGAATACAATGTGGACCGATTTGGTGCAGGACAGGAGAGCAGAAGCATTGAACATGTCCAAGTTTGAGATGAGAGCCACTTTTCGTTCTGATTCTATACATGTATACTTGTGAATTTGAATCTATCAGAGTAACAATATGAATCAGTTTTCTTGTAAACAGGGGTGTTCTTGGTAGTAACCTTTCATTAAAAGAATAATTTTTTTTATTATTATTTGCTTTTACATAAATGCATTACAACAAATTTTCCTAGCAAAATCTCTCCTTGGTCATTAAGCATTGAGCATACATAACTCATACAACAAATGGGTGTTTCGAGCAGGTCAGTCTCATAAAAGCTGAAACAGAACAGCATATAAAGAGATATCACTCCTGCAACAAATGGTCTTGTTCATCATTTCTTTGATCCATCAAGCTTAGATTGCTTCAAGTCCTTATCAAGTTCTTTCTCAAGTGCATAATCTCACGGTGCATGCCACAGCTTGTGCCCAGAACTTCAACCTTGCTTTGACATCATCAGGATTATCCCCTGTTTTTTTTTTCACACATTTCATATAATCAGTAAAAAAAGTAACAAAAAAGGTTATATTAAAACATCTGAAAAACTAGGGCTTACCAGGACTAGAGATCTTCCAGCTGGCTATAGGACTAACGTGAGACTCAAGCATCACCGGCTGTTTCTTCTCAGGCGAATGATCCTGATCCATAAACTTCTGACTCATCGAGTAACAAAGCTCAAGAGCAGGTAAAGTATTACAAAGTTCAGGAATCTCCTCGTAGTTAAAACCAAAACCTAGATCTACACAACCTTTAAGCTCCTCTAGATCATCGTCTGTTAAACTCTTGGTCCGCTTCAAATCATCACTAACCGCTGAATCATCAACAACGTAACCTTCAAGCAACACATTGCTCTTCTTCTTCTCCAGTTTCTTGGTCTTCTTTATCGACTCATCACCAAAGCCATTGTCTATCTCTTCCTCGGAGACACTGTACGAAGAGCATGAGCTGGAGCTAGAGATGTCGGAGTCTGAATCGACGTCTGCTTCGTATGAGGAACAGCGAGAGATAAAGTCTGAGTCGCACATTGTGAAACTCTGTTTTCTTTTGCTGTAGAGAGAGAGAGAGAGAGAGAGAGAGAGAGAGAGAAAAGAGAGAAAGTGAAGAGAGAAAGAAGGTGAAGAGGTGTTTATAAAGCTATCAACGTGAGACAATTTTTTATTGTCTCTTTCATAATCATGTGGTTACTAAATTACTAATCCATGTATGTGATTATTACGTTATGATGATGAATTGATGATCATCATCATCATTATCATTGCCAAGAACGTGTGAGCCGAAGTTAGGCCGGAAAATATGGGTCCACCATGTGCGGCTAGAATCTAGATCAACGAATCGTCATCTCAGAGCACCTTTTGGCCAATTATTTCCCACCGTTTTTTAAGCAGTAAAAATATAATAAAAATACTACAGCTATGTGATGTCAGTTGATATCTGTATATTTTTGCTATGGTTTAATGCCTCTAGTATTAGCTAAATAATTATATAATTATGTTTCTAATTAATACTGTATTAGTTATGTGTGATCGTATCCCCTGTCATGGTTACTTCTTTTTCAATTAAATTGTAATTTAGAAAGTTAGGTTTAACTTTCGTGTGTAACCTACGTACCATCCATCACACATCATTAGAAACTTAATTGGTATTAGGCCTGAGTGTTTTTACTCCAAACCGAACTCCTACCTAGTCTGAACCGAAAAAATCGAACCCGGATCCAAACCGTTATATGAGAATATCTGAATGGGATTTGAAAGCTTGATACTTCAGGTATGTGTACAATCCAAACCGAACCGAAATCCAAATTTGGATCCGACTATATCTAAAATTAGTGAAAATGTTACTATTTTTTATAAATGTTAAGGCAATTTGGATGTTTTAGAATATTTTAAATATTTTCATAATTTATTTTATTTGTTATTTTGAATAAATTTTAATTAATTTAGGTAGTTTAACTTGTTTAGTTAGTCTTGTGAATAATTTATATATTATGAATATTTTTTGTAAATTTTTAAGTTTTTAAAAAATAATTTTGAACGATTTTACACATTGGTTAATCTGATCTGATCCGAACCGAGCCCGACTCAATAATTAATAAAACTTAAATGAGATTTATGAACATAATACCAAAAATCTAAAAATCTTAATCAACAAAACCGAATCCAACGGGGCTCCGACCGAATGTCTATGCCTAATTGGTATTGACTTGAAAACCGATATTTCATTTTTACAAGTCTCGAAGTATTAATTCATCTAATTAGGTTTTTAGACGCTAGCGGTTCTCCTAACTTTCATATCATAATTAATGTTTCCATATAAAACTATTAGTGAAAGACTGATGATACCCAGGGCCGGCCCTGGGCAATGCCTAGTGAAACATTTGTTTCAAGTCCCCAAAATTTTTGAAGAAAATTACTATGAGTATAGGCCTCTAAAAAAACTTTTAGGCCCCCAAAAATATTTTGTAGTTCATGCAGCCATTTTTAATAAAAAATAGAACTATGAAGTTTTAATGAGTGTGATCTTTGTATTAGCTAGAATCGTCTTCATGTCAAAATTAAGGTTTAATCAAGAAAATATATGTGGTTACGGGTCCATGCAGAAAGAAAAAGAAAGGAGAGTAATAGAGCAAGGAAATAGATTGAGTTATTACAGGGTCAATAGTCCATGCATGTATAATTAAACTGCAAAATGATGATTGTGTATAATATTATATTACGTGTGTTGATCACAAATTCATATCTAACTCCTCGAGTCCGCAACAAGAAGTCGTTGCTCCAAACTTGTTAGGTTGCTTCAATTATTACTGAAATATATTTGTACTCAACAACTATAAAACATAGAAATATGTACTAATCTGTAGAGATCTATGGAGAAGCTGTTAGATAATTTAATTATTACAAATCTAATTATAAACAAATCACTTTCGGCCTGCCATAAGTCATTGGCCTCGAGATGCGCCACATCAGTTTTACATTACCTTACGACTTAAAAACAATTTTTAATACGACAAGTAACTTTAGATTCCACAATAACATTTTGTTTTTATCTTCATTATTTAGCCTAATCGACAAAGGTTGATGGGATGAAGCAAATCAATGGGATGACAATTAGGGTCGCTTACCAAATCGAGCAAAATCATTTGCACCCGCGGTAATTGATGTATATAAGTAAAATAATTTGCATAAGTTTTCTTCTTTTTGTGATATATTCATATAGACACCTATCTAATTATTTTAAATTCAGAATATAGCTAAGTTTGAATGATATGAATATAGAATGTATATATCCACTATATCATACTAGGATTGACTGGTTAACCAATCTCAGAAAGATTTCCCCAAAACTCCTTGCTGTGAACAGCTAAAAACAGAATAAACAATCATAAAAAAAAAGTGTAGAAGCCAAAACAAGATTGCTTCTCGAAATTTCTAATGGGAAAATAAAATATGAAAGAAAACGATCGTGGTCCAGCTTTTGATGAGCTAATTGGCTTCATTGACAAATTAACATGACTTTGATATATGGTGCGTCGGCGTCAAATGGAGACAAACGTGTCATGCATGCTAATATAAGACGACATTCATGAAATCATGAATCATCATCGTCATGCATGCTATATGCATCATACCATTATCTATGTTTCCTACTTCAAGGGATGTGTCTATATGCCTATATCTATGGTCAATATAAAAGAAAGAGACATAGTTTAGGTTCATGTATTATTGTCCATGTAGAACGAAAGGCTCCAAATGATTGTGGTAGTTATGGGGCAGCGAACAATGATAACATTAATGCGATTATTTCACATTGAATAAGTGATGTCGATTTGAATTGGTAGAGAACTTTTATTATTTTGAATTATAATTTCAATAGTAAGTTAGTAACCAGTGTGAAATAAAGGTTCTTGAGATTAAATATATCATACTACTTATTAGACATACACACAGTTGTCTTCCAAAACCATGCATTATCACTAATGTGGTTGGTAAACACAATTGTTTTGGTCGGTATAGACTTTTGTTTTCAAATGGTTGACCATATATATTAGTCCAGTCGACCTAATCAACCATTTAAAAGTAAATTAATCAATTCTGATGTCTAATATCTAATGTCTCTACATTCGTTTTGAAATGCTCTCATTTCTCTTTATTTAGTGTAACGATTGTTTATACAACTTATGCACGTAATTCCTAACAATTGCTGACCTGTAATTTTCATAAACATACTCATATATGATATTTAAGTCTGATAACAATCGAGTAGGCTTGTTTGGATCAACAAACCATCAAATTAGTGTAAAATTACCACAAATGAATTATTATTTAATTTTATAAAAATTTTGCTTCAATAATTGGGTTGATGGAAACAGAACAGAACAATGAACAAACGCATGTGGACGGGTAAGGGATTACACATGTGAACGAGAGAAGAAGACAAAAGGCAGGGGATGTGCCACGTGGATAGCTTACGATAAGAAATTAGAGGGCTTAAAAGGCTTCAGAGGGGCCCATTAAAGAAATAAAAGACAAAGAAGAGACCCAACAACTCACGTGTCCCCATTTGCCTTTTTTCTTCTTCGGCTCAACTAATCAGCACCATTTTCATACCAGTCTGGTCTTCACGACATTCATGTTCTCCTTTGGTCCCCCCACTTCTATCATTATCATTTGTCCATTTACCACATACTATTCTTTTATCTTTATAGAACTTACTTTTATAGATCACGAGATTGATACTAGAATTATAACTGTATAGTTTTTTAAAAGATTTTTATATAAATATCATCGGTTATGATTTTCTAAAATAAAATGTTTTATTTTATACCATTTTGTTTTTCACAGAAATTAAAAGAAACTAGTTGCCAAAAAATGAAACAATGACTTAACATAACATCAAAAACAAACGAAAATGCAATGAATGGCGATTATAAACTTCAACACTAAACAAACCAAACGATCATCTTTGTTATAATCACAACCAAAAGATCACATGCTATGTAGAGAATCAATCTCGGTTACTTGTAACAAACGCAATATGTTTTGGCAAGTCCAAACTCCAAATCGGAGATGACTTTGTTTCACTATTGAATTGAAAACGTTACAAGCTTTTGTGTTCTAGAGAGATTATATGTTTCTGTGTATAACAACAAGAGATGAGACACATATTTATACTGACCTAATCACGTACTTCCTTGTTGTAAAAGGAATACGTTTTTCCTAATACCATTAGGTATAATACTCCTAATTGGACCTTGATTATGTTGCTTGTATTTTGATCAGGTTAAAAACCCGAAGCCCACTTGAAGCCCAGTCAGAGATGGCCTAAGAGACACTAAAGCCTCACATTCTCCACCTTGACTCTTTGGCCAGAAATGAACCTCGATCTCTCCGTCTCTTTCTTCTCTCTCTGGCGAGGATGTTCCAGAAGATGCGATTTCATCGCTTCATCTTCTCCGAGCATCGCCGTCTGTTCTTCGACGCCATCATCCCCGGAGTTGCATGCACTTTCCGGTCCCTGCTCCTCTCCTTCGCCTTGGTTGTTTCTTCTCTCTCTCCTTTCCAACTCACCCGTGAAACCAGACAAGATCCCGACTTCACCGCCGCTTGTCTTCACCAGCGTTAGCTTCCTCCGCCTCCGCTCCGAAAAATCTCAGGTCTGGTTGTTTTATTTGTCTGTTTCATTAGACAATTACCCAATCAAACCCTAACCTTTGATTTCTCAATTCCAGCTTGTTTCCTCGACATATCCAGCAAAGCTTTTGACTTTCGTGATTCTCCGGAAGCCAAAATTCCTTATGCCTTCCTCACGACACCTTTTAAGGAGCTCAGATTTGACAAAGTCATAAAGGTATCCCCTTTTTAACTTTCGTTTACCTCCTGTGTACTACTCTCTCAAGATTTATGTTAACATATCTTCTTGTTCAACTTTTCCAGATCACACGATGTTGACGTCTCTTCATCATGGAGCTTCTTTAGGTATAAAACCAATTTCTTGAGAGCTTTGAACCTGTAAACTAATAGCTTTATGTTCACAGCTTTGTTGTTGATGAAGACTTGCCGAAACAACTCGTACATCCTCAGGTATAACAT